CTGGATCAAAATTATTAAGGTTCTATTATTTTCAATTATTTCCACTTCTCTTAAAATATTAAAGTATGGAGGGCTCAGCAGAAATCAATCAATATAAGTTAACAAATGTTAGTCTTGAAATAAATTAATGAGATTGAAAAATTGTTAACATAGAAAACAAATAGCAAGCAGTTATTTTTGCAGAATCACAACAAAAATCTTAAAATTACGAATTTGCCATTTTTACGGTAATCAAATTTTTATATAAAAATAAAACAACAAATTTGATTAACATGTTATAGACCCTCTCTATGCTTTTCCAGAAAGTTTATGCATTTATCTAGAACGTTTATACTTTTTCCAAATATTATGAACGAATATCAAGTGTCTTTGTACTTGTCTAAAATTAAGATATTTGAAATTTTCTTCGTCCATTTGATTGAATTCTGCAACCCCTAACCATATATTTTTGGAATTAAATTGAATGAAATTAAGAAGGAGTACTTCTTTGTATATTTCTACCTCTCTTCAATTTAAGTTTTTTTAATAGTTTTAATCGTTTCATTTAGATTTTTTATGAGTAAATTTTATTGTTAACATTTAATTTTTATTCATTTCCTCTTTTACCCATACCCATTCAGTTTCTTTTTTTTGTGCAATTTCCTTTTTTTTTTTGCTGAATTGAAAATGAATTCTTAAATGGTCAATGGTATCGAAATTTAATTTGTTTCTTGGTTTTTTATTCGGAATTGCTGGACTATAAAAATATTAATGCGGGTAATGCTTTTTTTTTTCCAACTTGGTTTACAGTTTACGTTCTTTTTTAATTGTTTATCACTATTTTTAGCACTTTCCCAAAAAAATTAAAAAAAAAATGTTTATCAGTTTCACTCTGTCCGTCTGTTCGTCCGTACGTGGACATTTTTACAAAACTTCTACATGCTTGAAGACAGAAAACTGAAATTTCATATGTACGTAAATCTTTACTAGAAACTTATTTCTATAGAAGACAATTTTTACTTATCTCCTTCCCTCTAAAAGTATTTCAAAATTCTAGAAAACTCAAAATTCTAAAAATACCGTTTTCCAACAGTTTATTGCAGATTTTTGAAATTTTGTAAACACAGAAAAATAGTTAACTGATTTCTTCTATCACGGCATATCCTTTTTGATTTTTAAAAAGCAAAATATTCGTTAAAATTGACCGTTATCGAAAATCCGATTTTTTTTTCAAATATTTGAAATCGTTTTTCTAGACCTCAAGTCGTAGGAGTTTGAAAATTTTAGCAACTTTTAAACACTAATAAATAGTTCATTTCGTTAGAAAAAAAATTTTTATCACCTTCACGCCCTCTCAAGTTATCAACTCCCGCAATTTCTAAAACTGCCAACTTTTCCAAATTTCTATGAATGCAGAAAGCTAACGGTAAATGCCATGCTCTTAAGAAATACAATTATTTTTCTTATCTTATGAAATTAATGCTTAAATTCGAGCATTATGTTGACGTATGTTTAAAAGTTTTGTTTCAAAGATTTCATACATCGCTTATCCTAAATGTATGTGATGTTTGAAATATTTCGGTATACCTATGAATGAAATCAATTTTGTGCTACTTTACAAACCATTGGTTTGACCAAGCTTAATTTTTTATTTCTTATATGTTTTTCGGGTGGTTTTCATGTTCACCTTCGCAATAAATTAAAAAAAGAAAAAAAAAAGCAAGACAAAATTTATTTTAAATGATTTGATCTGATCCTTGCCATCGTTATCATTTCAAAAATCATCACTATTGATGGCTATCCGTTTTTCATCAAAATAAAAAATGAAAAAGCACATTCATCAAAATATTAATTTTTCTTTTCTTTTATTTGTTGTATTTTATTTTAATAACTTGCAAAATGCTAGAGTACTATGTGTACCCCTTTAATATCATTATTTGAATAATGAATCTAAATAATCAAATTAGAAGCAGCTCATTCAATCAGATTTTTAGCATTCAATTTAATTCAAACGAAAGTAGTAGTTGATCATGTTAACTCTGATATACCCGTACGCATGAATAATTTTGAAAATAGTATGATACGTTAATTGCCACACTCTTTTATGCAACCTCTTGTTTTTTTTATATAGTGCTTTTTCAAACATTCATACCAGCCAATACCGTGGCTTCATCAGTTTCTATGATAGAACGAAATAACTATTGAAGTTGTGCGGTAGTTACCTAAACCACAAACTCGAAATCCAAATCAAATAGAGTTTTTCATTTCATTACAAATGGAAGTGCAAATGGAAACCATGCGAAATGGTGAAAACGCAGAACTAATTTGTTTCCATTACATTCGATATGCAAAACCTTCTCTCAATCAGTGCTTTATATACTTTCTCAAAACTTTCTCAAACTTTCTTGTTAGAAACACATTTATTTTGAATGAAAGAAGTTCATCCATATTTTATTTACCTATAAAACATTTTCATTCGTAATGTTATTTATGATTGATAACTGGACGCCGTCTGCCTTGTTTGTTATGGAAGTAACATTATAAAATTCGGAAAATTTGGTTAGATAATTTATGTTCAGATTCTCGCCCTCCTTTAGAATTGTTTAAAGCCCAATTGAACCGGAACACTTTGTTAACATGTAAAATTATTTAAGACGCAATGTTCAAGAAGGGTACCACATAATAAATAATATTAATGAAAAATAATAATAATTTATTAAAATATTTTAATACGAGTATTCTTGCGAATATGAATAATAAAATGAAAAAAACCAATTAATTTATTTTTTTTAAGATTATATACCCAAGAAGAATAAAAATAATAAAAAAAGAACAATAAAAAGTATATTAACTTTAAAACTTTGATGGAACATTAAAAAAAACCCCAACACAACTGGTATAAATTTAATCCCAGCTATAGACTGACCTGAAATTAAAATGCATGTGTGCATACATACAATATGTGTATAAGCTTTATACTTTGTTTCATCTTATACTAAACCGTAAAAATAATCGTTTTTAATGATGGTGTAGGACGATATAAGAAATTCATCATTCATAAGTCAATTTCATCATATTGTTCGCACATATCTACAAATTTACATATCAAGTGGGAATGGATAGGACTAAATAATGTCAAAACTTTGGGTTTATAAAAATTATGCAAAAAGAAATTCTGCTTATAAAACACAATTTGAATTCGTTTGTCCACAGCGAATATCTTTGTAATTTGTAACAAACACGGAACAAAGCTTTACTGAAAAAAGTTGCCGTATATTCCTTGGAAAACTGTAATATAATTTATTGGAAAAGTGTAAGTCTAACTAATATACGAAAAAGGGTTGCAGAAATATCTAAGATTTTAAAATTTCGTAAACTCAAGAGCTCAACATTTTTTTATGTTAAAAATTTTTGATTCCATTTCGAACAGAAATGTATAGTTTTCCAAGATTTATTGTAAATTGTCATAATAAAGTGTAATTCCAAATAATTTTCTTTTTAATTAAACCTACATTCATAATCATTACAGAATCATTACACAAAATTTTATACAAACAGAACGAAAACAACACTATTTTACGATTACAATTTAAGTTTGGTTTCTTGTGACTGAGTTAATCCCTTCTAAAAGTGAATTGTTACGTAACTTGTTTATACGATGGTCCGAAACTTATTGCATGACATTTCGAGAATTTACAAAGAAAACAAATGTGAGGAAGCTATATGCAAAATAATTGATATTGAAAATATTAATTTTCTTCGAAACTATAAAAGGATCGAGTAAACTTATAATTTACATTGTAAACTAATAAAAAGTCGAAAACATTCTATAAAATTATTTTGAAAAACCTTAACATTTGCACAAATTTTGTAACACTTTTTTTTAATAAAAATATCTTGCGATTACAAAAATGTTGTTGACAGGAAATGTTATTTTTCTTTTCTTTTTTTTAGTTTTTAGAGCAGGAAATTGAAAAACATCAAATATTTAATATTTAATTTATTTAGTCCATACAATATTCTATACGTACTCTTTTTTCCAATTGCAATCAAAGTATGAAATCATTTTGCGTGCATCATAACTGACTATTAATTATTCTGAGAAAAAATCTTTGATTTTAATGGAAACACGTATTGCATTTATTCAATACCAGTGTATAAAAATTTTATTTTGAAGATTTTTCATTTAAAATTTGAGCTAGTACAATATGAGAATTATTGAAAATATTAATTTTTAAGATAAAACAGAAATTTTGAATATATTTTTGAAAAAGTACAAACTCCTAATCTCCTATTAAATTTATTCGGGAATTACTTTTAGACCATTAAAATTATAATTGAATTTAAACTGGAAGCATCGCTTAAATTTATAAAAGAATTTTTTGTATAGTTTAAAATATTGAATTTATGAAATTTGTTATGTAAATTAAATGAGTGTGCAGTCTTATAGGAACAAAAGTAGGGTCGAAAAACACAAAATATATCTACTCTGTTTTAAATTATCTTATTAAGATTGTACTGAGATTTTGAATAAATTAACATTTTTAACAAATTATAAAAATTTTATAAAACCAAAACAAATTTAAATTTTATTTTAATTAAAACGCAAAAAAGAATTTTTATAGCGGAATAATATCAAACTTTCAAAACTTTTAAACATTTTAAAATATTTTCAATTAACTCCACCTATATAATTATTAAGCCACACCCTATTTATTCAATGTAATATAAAAATAATCTTAATATTTTATAGTTGTTGGAATTGTAAATTTTTTGATAAAATAGTTGAAATTTTTATGTAAAATTTTTTTTTATAAATTAAATTTTAGATTTTTGAGATATTTTTTAAGTGGGATTGGGCAAATAAAGAAATCATGCAAAATTAGAATATAGTAGTTGTAGTTTTAGCACAATTTATTGGCACTCAAAGGTAGCAAAATTAAGTAACTTCTGCAATTCATTTGAAATATTAACTTTAAAAAAGTTTTTAGTTATAAAAGTCTGTATGTAAATATACTTACTGTGTTCTTAAAGTAAATGCTGCGCTTGTTATACTAGATGGTAAATGTAAGCCTTTAATTATTTCTTGCCACAATTTTTTATTTATCACATCAACTAAACCACCTCGTGCTATTACTAAATTGTATAATTCATATAAATCTAAAACAGATTTAGCCATAATTGGAAGACGATTTATAGGTGTTCCTAAAAATAAAAATAAAATTACATTAAATTTATAATTGATATTTAAACAAATTAAATGCTACATGAATAAAATATTGTATTTTTGGGCAATTTACATATATGTATGTGAATTTAGAACATCTATGGGTAGATTAAGAATACTTTATTTCCCATTTTGTTTATGTTCATTTTCGGAGGTTCACGCGTAACAGTAACACTTGTAAAAATCAAACGAATGTTGTTTTCTACTTCCTAATAAAAATATCAGCAATGAGGTCCGAACAAGCGTTTCCTAATTAAATATTTAACATTGTGAACAAACAATTTTACGGTTCCTTTAATTCAGAGGTAAAAATTTGATGGCTGAGATCATGCGAACTGACACCTTTAAATTATTTCTTTAAAAGTATGCCCGTAAATCTCTTGCTTATGTCGCCCATCTAATATCATTCGATTTTCATAACAATTTCGAAAATAATTTTGAACTTTTAATTTCGATTATATTCTGTGCCGAAATGTGAGTAAGAGTGGCTCAAAAAACGTAGCCGTGGCCAATACTTGCATGAGATTGTATTTAAAAGTAAATGACAACAATTAATTTTTTGATTCAAATAATTAAAAACATCAAAAATCATTCATTAATTGTCATAAAGTTTAATTTTAATAGTTTAAAATCAAGAACACATGAAAATAGTTGAATGTTTAACACTCAGACTTAATTTTTAGAAATCCAAAGCAAAAATCCAGAATTTTTCAACACGTTGTAATGACTGTGCACTACAAAAAATTATTATATAATAATTCCGTTTTAAAAAATACTAAAGAAACCTTTAGTGTCTAATATTTATAGGTTGCAATGGCGTATTAAACGTTTAAGAACTCAGCGTTATATAGTAAACTAAAAATACAAGACTATATCTTGAGGCTCCAATTATTTAAATTTGCATGGTGCTTAAATTTAAATAACTTGATGTAGGGCATATTCCTTCCCGTTTTGCTTAATTGATATGTTTTTGCTGAGAAATTTCCTTAGAAACGAAAAATCTTGATTTCTGCTAGAAACGAAATTTTGTTATTCAACCTTCTATTTTATTCAAAACAAATTTTAAAGAATTGTAATTTATAAAATTAATTAGATTATTCTCATATAACCTCTTATAGCATTAATCTATTAGCAATAGTAAGTAAATATTTCACAGCAGTTGCTAACACGATCTGTATAGCATTTTTATAGTTTTTGACAAATTTCGAAATTCAAACTAATTTGTTCAGTTTTTGCGTTCCTTCGCTTTGTCCTTGCGGAGACTATCAAAATATTGTAAAAAATCATTTGGTTTAATAGATTTTCGAATGATCAGTTCAACACTGAAAAAAAGATTGAAAATATGATAGAAAACAATGTAATAAAAGATATTATTGACAAAGTCAAATATTTTGCGTGCGCTACACATACCAAATACATATATACATATGTATGTTCTGTAAATTTCTATTTGTAAACGCACATACATACATATTTACAAAAACAAAATGTGTATCACAAATTAAAATTATAATATTCAATTAGTAAGATAAATGTTTGGTAATACAAAATGATACGATTTTGAAAAATTTTATACCCTAAAGATAACAATTATTATTCAAAACAAATAAAAGAATTTCCATAAAAATTCAAAATCCCAGAAAGAAAAAAAGCAACCAGGAACAAATGTACCATTTGTGGTATTTTTTTTCTGTTTTGTCTTTTTTCTTGTTTAATTCAAAAATATTTGAGTCATAACGCTTTTCTTTACAAATTTACACACGTTATTTTTATTATTATTATTCCATAAATAATATAAGAAAAATAATATCTTTAAAATACATTGAAGCGGTAAAATTCAATGCAGCTTTCATTTAAATTTGTACATACATACATACATATATGTGTATTATGTACAAAAGTACAAAACAATACCGAAAAAATAAAAATTACCGTATTGATGTTGAACGCAATTTATATGTACATTAATTCATATTTATTTTTCTTTTATTCAATTTTCACTTTAACTATTCAAAAATCTATTAAAAGGTCGCGTACGGGTGAGGTGGCCGGCCATCATCATCATCAGATTTACAATTTATAAAAAAAAAATAATTTTATTTTTCTTTGTTTTTTTTTTTACTTTTTTTGGCGTTATGAATTATGATGACACGAACGGAATAAATAGACGTAAGGCAAAAAGTGGGAAAACAGGCGATTGAATACAAAACAAATAAAAATAATATAAAAAATATTTAAACTGAAAAAAAAAAATTAAATAAGCCCGCGACCAAAGTCAAAGAGCAATAAAATAGATAAAAAGAGAACGAAGGGGAGAAACGGGAGTAATTATTATTATGAAAAGACAACAAATCTGATGTTATTATGTGGTAAGTAATAAGATAATTTGAGGACAATAAGATATAAGTTACACAAAAGAAGAAAAAAACAACGAAAATGAATAACATAACAAAAAAGCGAAAAAAAACCCATAAAATAAAGATGTTCGGAAATATGAACAATATGAAAAATAAATCAATCAAAAGAATTATAATCGGCATTTCCGACTATAAGTTGCGTGACTTTTTGTATAAATTTGGTTAAAAATATTGAAAAGAAATTCAAAAATCCTTAATGGAGGATTCCGCGCTGAAAAATGTTGTATACAATGATAACACGAAATACGCGCTGTTATCATCTTAATTTGAACTAGCCGAGGAGCGATTTAGGAATGATTTAAGAGCTTACCGTTTTCAAAACATTTGTATATTCTTGCCTTAAAAAATTCATTAATCTCTTAAAAAATTTTCAAGAGTCAATATTAAATTTACGCATAATGAGTAATTACTTTTAGAGTAGTTGAAATTTTATATATTTTCTTTTTATCAGTTAGTGTAATTCTCTAACGATTGGTGAAATTTAACAGGTACATCTTAAATATATTTTATCTCTATAAGTACATATAAAATAAGTGTAAATAAAGGTGCTCAGAGAAATAAATGCAAAGGAATTGCAGGAAACTCAATGCCGTAATTTTTCAAAAATCAAAAGATAAATAAAAATTAAAAGCAAAAAAGAATTTTATTTTCTAATCAATAGCATTTATATTAACGAAGTTAAAGTCACTGGTTATTGTCGAAATTATTAACAACATTAAGGCTTTGGATTTGATAATTTGTTTTAAAACTTGTGCAATTAATTGCATATTTTTAAGTGCTTTTTTAAATAAAAATTTTTAATTGAATTTCTGCATGAATAACAATGTTGTAATAATTGTTTCTAATCTCCCACTGTCTTCAAATGTGTGCAAGCTGTTATAGGAAAAAATAGCTTTTTTTTAACTTTAAAACCGGGTTTTCCTTGAAAGAAGTCTTTATACTAGGTTAACATCTTCTTTTTCCTTAATGTAATAGTTCTTAAATACCAATAATTCTTAAATTCTTAAATACCAAGAACGATGTTCTTTTTTCAAGTCAAATTTTATTTCTACTTACCTTTTTATTACTCACAGATTCTGTAAAAACAAAAAACAAAAGTTACAAACATTTAACAAAAATCAATCTGTAGCTCACGCAATGCAATACAGAAGAAAGCAGTAAAAACACAGAGTTTCAATATGTTTTTTTTTCCTTAATTTATAAAAAAAAAGTACATCTAGATTTGTGGAACATTAAAACATGACGAGATTAATATAAAATATCTTTAAAGATACCATCGTTTCTACAATCATACCAACATTCATCGCATCATTATGTATGGATGGAGTGAAATTGAAAGATGATTATCTTTTAAATAAGGTGTGCAACAATAATTTTAAATATTAAAATGAGCAAGAGAAAAAAAAACAATGTTGGTGTATAGGATGCCTCCAATTGTATTGGAAATAATAAAAAAGAGACCAGCTTTGCAAAAGACTTTTAAAGATTATTTTTTTTTCAAACTTTGAAAATCTAAAATTCTGATTAATGTATTTTTTTCGTGTTAAAACTTTTCAATATGAGTTTTTAATAAATAATTTTGTATATTTGAATAATGTACAATTTATTTTTTTTTATATTATTATTTATTACACATTTTTTGTTGTAATTTAAGAAAAGAAACAAAAATTATAGAACTACTTATTATCTAGTATACTAAGCTCTAGCTCTATTAAAATAATTATTATTTTTTCTATGTACAACACAAAGAATGTAGAGATTTGTTTAAAAGTTTATTGTTAAAAAATTTTTTATTAAAACGTTAGTGTTAATGATAAAATTATGCATAAAATCTTTGTATGTGTGTGTTTATTTTAGAATTACGAGTATTAAAGATTTATTCGAAAAGAATTTTTGTTCTCTTTTTTTTTAATGTGGAACAATTGTCATTGTTGATATTAATGTCTTTTTAAAATGGGGAAATTCCATAATAATTATTATATATATATATACGTACATACATACATACATTTAATTTGTAATTTTTAATGTGTCAGAACAATATAGAAAGGAAAAAAAATAAGAAGAAGCTTTTTTATTAAAACCAAAATTCAATAAAGAAAAAAAAACTATATTTGGGACTCTGCGTGATAATAATGATTAATGAAAGCTTTATATTCGTAATTTTTAATCCTTCAAATCAGGCAAGTCAAACACGCGGATCTTGATGCGGCGGCCCGTTAAGATTTTTGAAAATGGTGAAATTTAATTCTTATAGTTTTGTTACAAGATTTAAATCAGTAAGAAAGTGTTGAAACCACAGTGAAGGTTTTGCAGGGGTTCTATAAATCAAATACTCATGTATTTGGACTAGTTTAACTTTATTATATTTGTAAATAGTAGGCTAGTGCAATAAATTCGAAATTTCCCTTATATTCTCATTGGAATAAATTATTAAAAACCGAATTTAAAAGAAGATTTTTAGATTTTAAAAATGTCAAAATGAATTTATAATAACCTATTTGCTCTTCGATTTTTATTGGTATTGAAACACTTGATGCAAATTTACAATTGAAATCGAA